ATTATTAAATTTGGATTTAAAAATGATAAGAAATTCGATATTCGGAATTAAACTTGACTCGAATAGTTTAAATTGATTTTTACAACGACTAGCCGAACACGCTTTCATTTTAACGTTTGGGGTTAAAACTTAAGGACACGTTTTTCAATATAATAATTTAAAATTTTCGGTCGCTACAACTATAATATTTATTTAGATTTTAAAATTAATGAAATTATTTCACAGTGTTCATTCGCGATAATCATCCGCTTTTATTTTAACTAAATAGTATGTATTGACTTATAAACAATATTGTTTTTAATCAATTAGGGTTAAATTAGATATTAATATAATAATAATAATAATAATAAAAGATATTAATATAATAATGTCAAAAGTATATATTATTTGTATATATACTGTTAAATGATTTGAAAGTCATTTTCGGAATGACCGCGGAGCCAAAGAGTATAAAATTATTTAGTTGTTTCAAAAATTAGGTAGTGGAATTAATTAAATACATAAAAATTTAAATAAAATTTAAATCGTCACAAATCTTTTCGACAAATTTCAGTGTATTAATACATTCTGAACATACTTTCTGATGGATATTTAAACATGAATGAATGAAGAATAAATTCAGGAAGAAACTCAAGTAAGATATTGAAAAACTCCTATTGTCATCACAAAAGTAGCAGGTGGTGCAACCAAGTGCATTATTTTAGCTCTGGATGGTGTAATCTACCATTATGTGGTGAAAACAAAATCATTTATTGGAGCTTTTGGTGGTGCAACATGTGAATGTGTTCCTTTATTTCTTCTAATTAGAAAATTGAAACAATTTTAAGAAATTTATTTTATGCATACCGGAACCAAGAATCATAAGTCAATTTACAATTTGAAGTGAGTTGGATTTAGAATCAATGGGATATTGTGAAATTTAAGTATTGTTCTTGTCTAGTATCTCTAAGAAGTTACATAAAGTTTCTTTTTATAAACTAAATGATTTGGTTGAGATATGATTCTGTATTAAAGAAAATCATGAATTGTGGGATCTTAAAGAATATGAAGCCTGCAATGCAATTCATTTATGATTATACTGAAAGAACGTAATAAACTGTAGTACGTTTAATGTGTTAGGATTGATATATAATATGATGCATGAATATTTACTTGAACGTACT